AAAAAAGAATAAAAAATAAAATAAAATAAAATTAAAGAAACAAAACCAAACCAAACTAAGGTAAAATAAAACCAAAAATAAACCAAAACAAAATAAAACACGAAATGAAATGAAATCAAATGAAATGAAATCAAATGAAGAAAATAAAAACAAAATAAAAAAATAAAATCAAAAATAAAATAAAACAAAAATAAAATATAACAAAACAAAATAAAGTAAAACAAACCAAAGCCAAATAAACTAAAATAAACCAAATCAAATCCCGTGAGCCAGAGCAGGGTGCCGGGTGCAGGTGCTGGGGACGTTCCAGGTGGATTCTCCAGTTGGGAATTGCCGTGTCCATGCTGGGAGCAGTTCAGGCCTGGGGGAGGCGATTCCTTCTCCACGTTCTGAGGGATGCAGAGCCAGCAGCGCTTCCCAAAATCCCAGCCCCGGAGCCTGCAGGTGTCCCAGCTCAGCTGAAAGGCTTCACCAGCTTCATGGCAGCGTAGTTCTGGCAGGGAGAACAGGGAGGAGTGATGGGAATGGGACATGGATTCCTCCAGGGCACAGGGATGGCCCTGCCCCAATCCCAGCCCACGGGGACAAGCAGGAAAAATCCCATTCCCACTTACGAGGAGGGGGAAAAACCCCTCCCAAAGCAGCTTTTCCTGCCTCCAGGAGCAGCTCCCGGTCAGAAATGGTCCCTTCCAACCCCAACCATCCCGGGATCCAACAGACCCCAACACCAGCAGTCGCTCCTGGATTTTGGCCTCTCCTCCCAGCAGTCCTTGAGATGAATTTCCAGCTCCTCAAACCCTGGGAAGGGCTTTGGCACCTCCCCAGCAGCACCATTCCGGTGCCCAGGGGTTCTTCCAGCGGGGCAGGAGGCACTTCCAGCCATCTGTGCCTCCTCCTCTCCCCTGGATCCCGCTGCTCCTTCCCCTCCAGCGCTTCCCAAAACCCCCCAGGCTGGATTCACCACTGGATTCACCACCCAAACCCTGACCCTGCATCCTGACAGCTCCTTCTTCCCACCACACTCCCCCAGAACCAGTGACCTCGCCCACTCTTCCCGCTGAGTTGGACCCTTTGGAAAAGGTCCTTGAGCATCCCCAGGACTTTTTCTGGAGAGCAGAGCTTTGCACAGGCCTGGAATCACTCCAGAGGAGGGCTCTCCAGCCCTGTCCCATCCTCATTAACTCCAAGTCCAAACCCAGCCTGCAGCTCCCTGGAACGTCTCCAGAGGCTCTGCCAAAGGCAGGGAAGCCAAACCTGCTCCGGATTTTTTTCCCTGCCACTTCAGCACCGTCCCCGTGTTCACCACGGACACGGCCCCAGGTGCCACATCCACAGGATTTCTGGACACTTCCAGGGCTGGGCACTCCAAACCTCCCTGGGCAGCCCCTCCCAACCCTTTCCAGGGGGAATTTTCCATAATATCCCACCTGCCCCTCCCCTGGCACAGCTGGAGGCCGTTCCCTCTCCTCCTGTCCCTGTTCCCTGGGAGCAGAGCCCGACCCCCCCCGGCTCCCCCCTCCTGTCAGGGATTGCAGAGCCAGAAGGTCCCCCCTGAGGCTCCAGCCCCTCCATGTCCTTCTTGTGAGGGGTCCAAAACCAACCCCAGAATTCCAGGGGCCTCAGCAGTGCCTGGCACAGGGAGAAGTTCAGGGCTGACGTGGAAAATGGGGTGTCACAGGGGCATTTCAGCCTTTTTTCCATGGAATTCCTTCCTTAAGAGAGGACACAGCAGTGCCATGGTCAGGAATAAGCTGTGCTCACCCCCCTCATCAAACCACAGTGACACACAGCCCCAAATGCACATTTAGGACATTTGGGAAGAGCCACAGCTAAAGCAGCTCTGATCCCACCCCCACCACGACCTGCACAGTTTGGAATCCTCTCCTCCCATTCCATACCTGGCACAGGATGTTCCACCACTCCTAAAAAAAAAACCCAAACTGGAAACAAATCCCAGGGCGAGATTTGGGGAGAAAAGACACAAAAACCCCTAAAAACCAACCAACCAATGCCTGAGCAGAAGCATCCCCATGAATTACAACATGGAGCAGCTTCTCCGGCGCTTTTCCAACCAGGATTTCTAATAATGCCATAAATCCAGTCGGGGCACTTTCCCAGAAGTCATTAAAAAGCCCCCAGTGACAAATAACCTCAGAATTAATGATCCATCATCTGTCCCTCCAAGTCCAGCCTCCCAAACGCTCCTGGTGTTCGGGATTGGACCGGTTGTGTCCTGGAAAGGAGGAGTTCTGTGCCCAGGGCTCAATTTGGGATCGGCAGGTGTGGAAAGCCGAGCAGGATCATCACTCAGGGAGCGGGAATTGGGATCAGTGGCCACGGGAGCAGCACAGGGATCACTGAACAACTTCCCGGGGTTCCTGAGTGCAGTCACATCCAGCTGGGAGCACAGCTGGATTTTGCTGTGGGGGGAGCCACTCAAACCTTCCCAATAATCATCATTTTGGGGAGATGCTTCAGCGTATTCCCAAAATCTTACATCACAGCCAGGTTGGACAGGACTTGGAGCAGCCTGGGATGGTGGGAGGTGTTACTGGTGGGATTTATGGTCCCCTCCAACCCAAACCATTCCACGATTCCATGACACTCCACTTCCAGCCCAAGGTGTTCACCCAGCCATTCCCACAGCAGGAGGGAGAGCTCCACTCAGCCATGGAAACATTGGAATTGGTGGGATTTAATGTCCCCCGCCCCAACCCAAACCAGTCTGGGATTCTGGAGTTCTGTCAGCTCCATTTCCATCCTCTGCTCCTGCCCAGCAGGGATCAGTTATGGATTCGCTGTGGGGTTGTTTGGAAAAGTCCAGTGACTTTGCTGGAATTTTCATCCAGCATTTCCATGGGTGAGTGGAGCTCTCCCATCTGCCTTGGGTGAACGTCTTGGGCTGGATGGGAGGTCAGAAGAAGGAGGATCATGGAATCATGGAATGGTTTGGGTTGGAAGGGACCTTTAATCTCACCCAGGGACACCTCCCGCTATCCCAGGCTGCTCCAAGCCCCGTTCAACCTGGCCTGGGGCACTTCCAGGGATGCAGGGGCAGCCACAGCTGCTCTGGGCAAACAATATCCTGTAGGAAGACATTCCATCCCCATCCTGGGACATCTCCAGCAGCAACAACTCCACCACAACCTTTGGCTCGTTATTCCAATGGTTAATTATCCTTCATCTCATAAATTAGCCCCCAATTCCCACTGGAGCAGCTCCTCCAGCTCCAACCCCCAGGTACTGGATCTCATTATGGTTTTCTTCTTGTTTAAGGAGGCTCCTGATGTCAAGTGAAATCTTAGGGACAATCCAAGGAAATCCTACAGGAAATCTCCAGGGAATGCTGCTCCAGGTTTGTACAGACCTTGATCCCAACCAGTCTCCAAGAAACCTAAAGCAGAGCAGTCACCTGGCACTGAGGGTGGGTGGAAGAGCCCAGGAATAAATTCAGAACCCCAAAATATCAGCTTTTCAATATTTTCCCCCATTTTTGTAAAACTGGACCATTTTGGGGATGGAAATGTGCAATTCCAGGCAGTTTTCCACCCAAAACCAATCGGGTTTTTGATTGGAATTGGCTCTTCCCCGCTAAACTGAGATCTTCTGGAAGCAGTGGGGTTAAGGACCATTCCTTATGGATGTGGGCCTTGATTTCCCATCCTACTTCCAGCATTCCATGAATCCTGATAAACCTCATCTTCATCCCTGAGCCCTTCCAGGCCCTTTCCCACTTCTCCACGTCTCCCCCTGCTCCTTAAGAGACCCCAGATCCCTCCA